TTTCTCCCTACATATACTGATCTACAGCCCCTGGATGCAAATTATTTTGCTTTACAGTTGGAGGACGTACACGGTTTATAGGTCTTGTGATCGGAAATTAGATTTTTATAACACGGAAAGAACAGGCCTACATGTGTAAGCTGCTTTCTCTTTGGCCACACCTTTTCAGTTTTGGTTGATTGTAATTTTAATTGTTTTTATGACATTTTAAATAGTAATAATTATTGTTAATCATCTTGAGTGCCTTAGAAGAAAAAGGCAGGATATATACTGAAAAAGGTCTATTATTACTATTACTATTACACAAAGATTCTCTGCAAAGAAGCATAGGGACATATAAAAGATTAGTATTGTAGGAAGAAAAATACTATCTCACTATGTGCTATGTTTACTTGTAGAAACTTTTTTTTAAAAAAATAGATAATATTCAAAAAAGCACCTATGGTGGGTGGGACAGTCTATCCTCCCAGCTCCCAATATCTTCTGCTGTTTCTCTGTATGAGTTTTGTCCACTTGCTTGGAGTAAACCAGATCACTGGAACACTTTGCGCAAGACAGATTTACATAGTTTTGTGGATACTGTTCAAGTGCCCAACGCAATGAGCACCACAATGTATGAATTTCTTCATCTGGATAAGTCATTTTCCAATGGGCTTTTTCAACAGCAACAAAAAAGAAACTCAAATACTGGTGTAGAGTAGAACAGCCTGTCCTTAAGCCTACCTGCTTGGGAATTAAAAGATTTTCCTCAGAGAGACATAGAGTATGCCCAAATTATGAAGATTATTAAACTCTGCCAAGTATTAAACTTCCCACACTATTACTTCTTTAAGCAAATTAAATAAAGTGGAGGGTTACTTAACCCTTCATTGAAGTTGAAGCTTTATTTAAAAAGTTCTTTTAAAAAATATGGTTAAGTGTTTTACAAAAGTTTAAAACTAAGAAAATTCTTCTACGAGGGAGTATCAACCCAATTTTACAGACAGGCTTCTAAACAGAAGGAGTGGACAGCTTGTCCAGGGCTTCCCAGAGATGTTATGGAACTCATTAGAGACTAGAACAGCTGAACCACGCTGACAATTGCAAACTTCTCCGCTTTCACAAGCTTCAGTGGAACAATGAAGGTGAAACGTGGACCTTTCCCCCATGGCCTTTTTCTCAAACTGGGACCTGCTTTCCAACTATCGTACTTTTGGAAGTGGTTCTTTGCCCACATGATCTTTGAAGTGTGGAAAAAAGATGGCTATAAGCTCTAGCACCACTTTGATTTCAGATTTACTCTCCAGTTCCTTAATAAATCTGCCACAGCGCTTTATCCCTCAGAGAGAAATAATGCGTGAGCCACAAAAGGGGAAAGTAGAAACTGTTTATTTCTATCATAAAGATGCCTTTTAATATTTTAACATAAATCAAGCTGTGGTTTATGATTATAATAAATTTACCAGGAAGAAAACCAACAACACTTCATTTGTTGCCCAAGACTGCGGAATGATTTGATTTGCTCAGTTTTTCAGTTCAAGAAAATGTAATTGAGATGGGTAAGGTACAGCTGTTTTAATTGAGTTTTCAGAGGGTACCTACTGCTGCTGGAAGCAGGAGGCTAATATAGAATGAGAAGACAAGGCACAAAAACACTCTATGTGCTGCTGCCATTACGGCTGCCCTCCTTCGCTCCTGCCAGCTGATCTGTCAACAGAAACCAATCCTCAATTCCCCTAACACCTGCAGCAAAAGGCCAGTCACCACAGATGCATAACCTTTCTGAAAAATAGTCAGTAGGGACAAATCAAGGGCACAGGGTAGCAAAGAGCCATAGGGAAGAACTTTTACATTAGAATAATCAATTACAAATCTCTCTCATGTTAAAACAAATGGAGAAGATCCCAGTTACTTTATCATACTCACCCAGGTTATGCTCTGGATATTGCTGTCCTGTTCCCTGCCGTTCTAGATAATGGGATCAATAAAGAACATGCAAGTACAGAAATAACCCTTTTCCACAGTTCTAGGTCCTCTTTTAAAACTTTTTAACATAAGCTTCAACCACTAGGTGACTTGGATCCCACTGCCACGCACTTATTGCTGGCGTCTGGGAGGTTACTCCAGGCCTAAGGGGAAGGAACCCTCCAAGCTGAGGGACTAATGGAAGGCACTATTATCTGGCCAATGGAAAAGTCAGCTCCCTATTCATGCAGAAAGCAAGCCACATCTAACTACAGTTGTTCTGAAATCAGACAGTAACTACTACAATGCTATGTTTTACAGCCTTCAGACAGCATTTGGAACAGAAAGAGAATCTAATGCAGGCTAAACAGGCATTTAATGCAACATGGAATTGGGAAGGAGGAGCCGGGGGAAATCCTCAAAAACAAACTGGAGGCAGCAGTCATGAAATTACTAAAGACAGTGCATTTAAAGTACATGATAGGAAATGAGCTACCTGTAGCCTATTGTTTCCTCTCGCTTTTCAAGAAGGAAAAATGAGCTTCTGTTTGATATAAGTCCAATTGGCAGGTCTTCTGGTTTTGCTGAAACCCAGCACTTCTTGCCGGCCTCCAGTGCCATGCGTATCAAGAGATGGCAGAGCCCGCCTTCAAGGAAGGTTCTTCTGAGCCAAGTTATAGAGAAGGTCAAAATGAGTGGGGAAGAAGAGAAAACCCTTTGAAAATTAGGGAGGAATATATGCATGAAATAAGTAACCCACTACCCAGAAGGAAAAAGAAAGAAAATATGTGGTATATTCTGTAGAGGACTAGAGGAAACAGGGCACTTTTTATCTTCCAGCTCTTTCAAGGCCTAAAAATGAAGCAGTAATAGCCAAAATGCACATTTTCATCTGTGTATAAGTGACTCCTAAGGCACAGGTTTTTTTGTTACTAAAACACCAGAAGTGATCCTATTCTTGCTGGCATCTTATTATTACAAGCATAGATTGGAGCAGTATCTGACAGCTCTGACATGGCTCTCTGTGATCTCCCTTCTGCCAGTTAGGAGGGTTCATAGCAATTGCAGGCAAGACTGACACAAATGAACAACTGCTGAATCTATGTGCTACTTGGGATAGAAGAGTTTCTACTTCAATGGACTGCAGATATTTTAAACAAACTGTATTTTTGTTCTCCCTGAACCAGAGCAGAAGTCTGACCCTTATGGGTTTAGTCATCAAAAGCTCCCTGTAATCTGGTATCCAAAAAATAGCCTCATCCATTTGCAAGCTTTGCAGGTTGTGTATCAGACTCTCTAATGCACCAAAAGGGCTGCCAAATACAGCCTGACAACAAGAGGGTACTGTCATCAAGTCTTGATATGCCTGCAGCAAATGGCCCTAGTTGGCAAGCCTAACCTTATGCAATCTAGCAAAGACACTGTCTTCTTTTGAGTTACTCACACTCAATAAATGATGCTGTCTGTATTTTTTAAGCACAACCTCTGCCAATCTCTTGGCAACAAAAACAATTCAGGGTTTTAAAGAATTATTATATTTAATTCTTTTAAAAATCCATCGCCACTGAATTTATCAACTAACTTTGGTGAAACATCGAATTGAATATCACAGGTACAGCCAGCCTGGAGAAGAGAAGCATCATCCACCTGTTTGGAAGACAGAATTTAATAACAGAAAAAGCACTTTAAGTACATTTATAGCCAAAGGAAATAAAAAATAATACTTTCCTTATACTGATAACTTTGTGATTT